TTCAGGGGATCTCGTAGTCGAGCAGTCTCGACTAAAGCTTTCTTTCTTGTTTTTTTTTACAAGTAATAAATTTAATAAATATTATTTTATTGCAGAATACCCAGAGGCTGCAATCGCATACAGAATATTGTCAGTACCAATTAACTGTGGCCAATCGGCAAATGACATATTAAGTTATTGCAATAACAAACCGCTCAAAAAACAACCAAATCAAATTATTACTCGGCCTTATAGCCAGGGCTTAAAGCTGTGGCATATGCTTATGTAAGCGTGAACAGATATAAGCCAGAGCGACGCGTCGTTGCCCCCCACTGATTTTTTGTATCCAATTATAGTGCGAAGGTCAATAATATATTATAATACAATTTACAGTAATAAACAAAAATATTGCAGATTTTTTCTTTCATTGACTAAGATTGACTCCATAAGGCAGCACATATTATTTTTCAAAAATATTTGACTTGATTATAAGAGCTTGGATTTAATATATGAATTCCACTATACCTCTGCTGTTCAGGCCGTCTCGTTGATTTTTTCGGCTGTGTTGGTCATATTTTTGAGCGCACTTAAAAATATTAAAATTAATAATAAATGTGGACAAATGAAGTCCGTTTTAGTGCCCGTTTTTGGTGCTATTATACAAATTTGTTGTGCTGCGTTCATTAGAAGCCAAGTAGCTCCTACCCAAAGCACCTCCAGGGAGCAGTCACGCTCTCCATTCCCCGTAGCTGTTCCGTCGTCATCTCGTTTTTTTCGATCTCTTTTCATTGCTGAGATTTTTATATTGTTCGGTCATTTGTGCATTTAGCGTTTGCTTTTTTCGCATTCTGTCTGGCATTTTAGCTCTCATTCACTTCGTTTTTCTGCCAAATTAAATTTTATTTAACTGTTATGCAGGAAATTGGTTGCGATTTTCATAGGATCTTTCCGTTCCACTGTTTCAGGCGAACACATGGATAGGAATTGCCGCTAATTTATTTTTAAATTATTTAACAATTTTGAACTGGCAGCCGCTGCTGGCGCCAACTCGGCAGGCGGAATATTTGTACGGCTGCCAGAACAATCTAATTAGATCCTGCCACGAGCTGAAGCTGAAGTCGGACAAAGGCAGAGGCAGAGGCAGAGGCAGACGCTGATTCTGATTCTGATGCGGATGCTGACGATGATGCCAATGCCGATTTGCTTTATGCCACTTGCCTTGGCAACAGTTGTCGTTTATGGATGCCAAGAAGAGAATTTTGGCAGGCCAAGCAGCCATCCAGCCCGAGCAAGGGGAGACAAATGGCTAAGCAGGGCACAAGAAGTGGGCGTAGACTCCCCTGAAAATTGGCTTCAACGAAATGCGACTCTTGCCTAATAGTTTTTGCCTCTATGCATAATTGTCCAAAACACATAAATTTAGTTGTTTACGATGATTATGCAGAGCTAAAGCGAAATCTTAATAATTACATTCAATATTTTAAATTAAGAAAATAGAATTAAGTAAATGCAAGCAATATAAAACAGTTGATATAAATATAAATAAAGAAAACAAAGAAGTCTAACTTGCTTTAGAGTGACTTTAACTGAACCCTGAATCGATCGAACTCCACCTTTTACCGTATAAATTAAACAAAAATGAACTAAAGCAATCAACACATAAGCTTTTCATATGGAAAAAGAGAGACTTTTGAGCGTGGCTACTCTCTCATTTTGCCTAATTGTATTTATACTCAAAAGTTATTGATAATAAATTATCAGGCATAAAAAAGGGCCGTCTGAATTATAATAAATGCCGCACAGGTAACAGGTAACAGGTTTAGTGCGCAGCTGAACCTCAAGAGCTAAACATATCAAATATAATATAAAATGCGACTGCTTCGACTGTTGCTGCTGCTCTTGGCCAGCTTGAGTCAGGCGTGGGCCTACTCCTACCTGGTGATAGCCCATACGGCAGCCAAGTCGCACTTCTATGTGGGCCAGGCGTTGGCCAAGGGTCTGGTCGGTGCGGGGCATGAAGTGACGATGGTCTCGCCATTTCCACAAAAGAAGCCTCTAAAGAATTTCGTCGATGTGGCGACGCTAAGCGTAATACCAGCCATGGAAGGTAGCTATCGCCGGATTACGCCTTTGTTATCAATTGTTAGCAACGCGATAATTATGAGCCCGCAAAACGGGCAATTGTGAAATAATTTAATTTGTACTCAATGAGAAATTAATTTTCTGCTTCTCTTTCAGTCAACAAAGCGAGAATATTCGAAATTGCCAAAATACCTATTGTGTTCCGCCTGCCTTTTATGCACGCGATGGGCCTCAATCTAACCCGAACCCTCCTCGCGGAGCCATCAGTGCAGACGCTGCTCGCAGAGAATCGCACCTTCGACGCGGTCCTCTGCGAAATCTTCATGAACGACGCGCACTACGGCTTTGCGGAGCACTTCAAGGCGCCGCTGATAGCATTCAGCTCCTTCGGCGCCTCCTCCTGGAGCAATCCGCTGGTCGGCACGCCATCGCCGCCCTCCTACGTGCCGCACTTTCTGCTCCAGTTCAGCGATCACATGAGCTTCTTCGAGCGTGCTCAAAACCTCATCTTCACGGCCTTTGAGTACATTTACCATACGTTTTTCTATTTGCCTCAGCAGGAGCAGATCTATAAGGAATTCTTTCCCCGCAACAAACAGAGCTTCGATGATATGCGCAGAAACACGGCGCTGGTGCTGCTCAACAACCACATTTCACTCGGATTTCCCCGACCCTATGCGCCCAACATGATCGAGGTGGGCGGCATGCACATCAATCGAAAGCAACAGCCCCTGCCCCAGGACATTGAGGACTTCATAAAGGGCGCCAAGCATGGCGTCATCTACTTCTCGATGGGCTCAAATCTGAAGAGCAAAGACCTGCCCCAGGAAAAACGTCAGGCAATAATTGAAACCTTTGGCAAGCTGAAGCAGCGCGTACTGTGGAAATTCGAAGAGCCCAATTTGGTTGGAAAACCCGCGAATGTCTTTATCTCCGACTGGTTCCCGCAGCACGACATATTGGCCCACGAGAATGTCATCCTGTTCATCACCCACGGCGGTCTGCTCAGCACCACCGAATCCATTTATCACGGCAAGCCTATTGTGGGCATTCCCATCTTCGGCGATCAGTTTGTCAACATGGCTCGAGCTGAGCAGTTGGGCTACGGCGTTACAGTCGCCTTTGACAAGCTGACAGCTGAGTCGTTCCATCAGGCCATTAACTGGGTACTCACCGATCCACACTACGCCCAGCAGATGCGTGAGATGTCCGCCCGATTCCGAGATCAGCATGAAACGCCACTGGAACGGGCTGTCTACTGGGTGGAGCATGTGACCAGGCAGAAGGGCGCCAAGTATCTAAGAAGCGCTTCACAGAACTTGAACTTCATACAATACCATAATTTGGATGTCTTCGCGATGATAGTGGGTGGCTTGAGCTTTCTTACGTTTGCTGTTATTTATATATTGGCAGCAGTCGTCAGATTCATACGTAGAACACTCCGAGGCAAGTCCAGGAAAGTAAAACAAAATTGAGTTCGAAAAAGAAAAAATAGAGCTGCGGTAAATATTCTTACGATCAGATTTTTCTTAATATATCCATATTAAAATAAAAAGTGGAAAGCAATATATGTATGTATGTATGTATGCATGTATGTATGTATGTATGTACATATGTATGTAAGTACTATTTTAAACTAACAAGAACTGTTCAAGTATTGTAAAGTATTTTTATCCATACAAAATTAAATTACTACATTTATGAGTGTGTCTTCAAACTCTATTATATATATGTATGTATGTATGTATATGTATATGTATGTATATTTACAATACGCCAAACACTTGCGCATGCAAAATGCGTTCGCATTTGAATAGAAGAATCGCGCTCTTATCGAAGAGCAAACGCAAAAACGCCTGAAGCTGAGAGCGAGAGAGCAAAGAGAACTTGTAACTGATTGAGCTTTACCTGTGAACATCTGTATGTGTGTATGTATACACGTGCATTAATGTAAAGCGCACGAAAAAATAAAAGCTATTTCATAACAAAGAATTTCATGTAAGCTTAAACTAAATATTGTTCATATCAATTAAAATGATCAAGCAAATAAAAGTGATTTGTTATTCCAGTCGATTTGTTTGGTCTCTCTCACACACTCGACCGGCGTCGACTCGCGAGTCGCGACTCTTTGAGTTACGAATAACAGAGCGAGTAGGAGAGAGCAAAACAACTCGCTCAGCATGACAAGCAGGCAGTCGAATACACTACGATAATGCCAGTCCATATATGTAGCTCTTCCTGGATTGTGATTGGACTCTAAAGTGCTGGGCAGCAGTTGCGCTGCGCTCGAGTCATGCTGACTGAGTGAATCAAACTGATCAGCCAGAGCTTGAGCTGCTGAAGCAGAGTGTAGCGTATTCCAGCTGTCGCTGTGATTTCGCTCTGAAAGTCCACAGAACGAGAGACGCTTTATTTACCGAAATATTCTGAGAATTGCGTTAGTTTTCGTCGCGTTAGCAACGCGTGTGGGTCGCATTTGGCGTTGATCGTGTATAGCAAGCAAGCCGGTGCTCAATGTGCATTTCACCCCGCAGTCATTAATAGTTTAGTAATATTTACTGTGATTAAGAACAGCAACTATCAGAATGTCCCACTCGGAGCGCAGAACCAGTTTCATCGGCCTCGCTCTAATGTGCCTGCTGAGCAGCGCGACGGCCTACAATTACCTCCTTATACTGCCCACCATTGCCCGTTCCCACTACAATGTGGGCTCGGCGCTGGCCAAGGGCCTGGCGGCCGCTGGTCATCAAGTGACACTCGTCTCGCCCTTTCCCCTAAAGACGCCCATCAAGAATATAAACGATTTCCCAGTGCCGAACATACTAAAAGCGATGAGCGGTAAGTAACTCTCCGATCGACACTCGTAATCTTGCCTACGAATTGGAAAAATGCACTTGAACGTATTGTTAATTAAATACCAAGTGTTATATTCAGTTGCGTCAGACACTGTGGAACTAGTTAACAATGTAATGCTCCTGTTTCTTATTTATAGACAACATTCATTTATAAGACAAATTTGTAAAGCAAGTTTGATGTACTTAAGATGTATGTATTATTGATGTACATAGTATATAGAAAATATTCCCTCGGGTATGCTATGAGAGACCCAAGATTATCGCCTTTATAAATAGAATATATAAAAATAGACTTTACAAGTTGATATATATTAGATCATCATGGAATAAGCAACACGCACTAATTTCACTTTTCTCACTTTCTAGGCGATTTAGGCAGCCTCCTTCAAAAGTCGGAAAAGCCGATAATACAACAAATTATTGGATTCTATGCCATGGGTAAGCTAACAACTTTTAAATATATTTTACACAAATATATATCTATATGCATGTATATATAGGCCTACGCATCACAGAAGCGTTGCTAAAGGAACCGAAAATCCAAGAGCTGCGCAAATCCAATCAGACCTTCGACGCTGTCATCAGCGAGGTGTTCCTCAACGAGGCTCATTTCGGTTTGGCCGAGCATTTCAAGGCGCCGCTCATTGGACTTGGCACCTTCGGAGCCATCAGCTGGAACACCGATCTGGTAGGTAGTGAAGCATTTGGGTGCCTGAGTAACGCCAGCTCACAGTTATTCTACCCTATCAGGTTGGATCGCCTTCGCCGCCCTCCTATGTGCCGCACGCGCTGCTCAAGTTCTCGGACCATATGTCGCTGGTCGAGCGCGTCATCAACTTTGCCTTCATCAACTACGAATATCTCTTCATGACGCTGTACTATTTGCCGCAGCAGGAGGTGCTCTATGCCAAGTACTTCCCCGATAACAAGCAGAACTTCTACGAAATGCGCAAGAACACGGCGCTGGTGCTGCTCAACCAGCACGTCTCACTGAGTTTTCCCCGCCCCTACTCGCCCAACATGATCGAGGTGGGCGGCATGCACATCAATCCCAAGCGCCAGCCCCTGCCCCAAGACATTGAGGACTTCATCAAGGGCGCCAAGCACGGCGTCATCTACTTCTCGATGGGCTCCAACTTGAGGAGCAAGGATTTGCCGATGGCAAAGCGTCAGGCTCTAATTGAAACCTTTGGCAAGCTGAAGCAGCGCGTGCTGTGGAAATTCGAGGAGCCCAATTTGGTTGGGAAACCCGCGAATGTCTTTATCTCCGACTGGTTCCCGCAGGACGACATATTGGCCCACGAGAATGTCATCCTCTTCATCACCCACGGCGGTCTGCTCAGCACCACGGAGTCCATTTATCACGGCAAGCCCTTTGTGGGCATTCCCATCTTTGGCGATCAGTTCCTAAATATGGCGCGGGCCGAACAGAATGGCTATGGCCGGACTGTGAACTATGAGGAGCTGACGGCCGAGCGGCTGTTGGCAGCCATCCAACAGCTTCTGCAAGATCCTAACGCCAAGCAACTGGTCAACGAGATGTCCGCACGCTACAAGGATCAGCCGCAGCTGCCGCTGGAGCGTGCCGTCTTCTGGGTGGAGCATGTCAGCAGGCATAAGGGCGCCAGATATCTGCGCAGTGCCTCGCAGGATCTGGACTTTGTGCAGTACCACAATCTGGATGCAATGTTCATACTCTATGGCGGCATTCTGTTTGTCCTCTACTGCCTGATGCTGTTCATACGTCTGGTGTGGCGTGCTCTGCAGCAGTTCTTCATGGGTCGCCAGGCGGCACAGCCCAAGCAGAAACGTCACTAAGCTGAGCTCATACTGGAGTCTGTATTCATATTCGTGTATATTGCTAAATTAAAATTGTATCTGTATTGGTTTGGGTTAGGAGTCCACGGTGCTACTTTGAATGCAGCTCATGCAAATTTCAGTCCGTGCTGCGGTTTAGTTTGGCAGTCGGCATCGAAAATGTAAAATAAAATAGAAAAAAATTTTTATAGAGCCATTGAAGCTTTTATTTTCGGCAGTCTCTAATACAATATACCCTAAGTCCAGTGAGCTTGGGAGTTCTGGATGTAAGGGAGGATTTTTAAAATGTCTGCAACAGTCGAAGGGGGTTGGTGGATTCAAAGCTCAATTACATTAGAGCTGAGTCGATCTTGCAATATTCAACTGTTCGCTGGTATGAACATGAATATCATTATATACTGTCTTTCGATAACTCATCCCATTACCTTTTAATTTCTTAAAATACATGATCTTTTAATTATATATATTATTTTACATCTAGTTGTAATAAGCCTCAAAAATATACTTTTATACTTTAGGTATTCTAACTTATTCCTTCCTTCCCAACCTTATTATCGATTCAGTAAAACTAAAAAAAATATCTCTTGAAAATACTTCCACCATTAATTCTAGAGTCATTTGTTTTGGAAATCAGACACGTCTGAGTCTCACTTTTATAATGATCTCAAAAGTTCATGTATATCAAAAGCTTATCACAACTTTATAGCTATGCTAGGGTGTCTGCTAGTCAGTCACACCCAAGTGGAGCTCTTTTACTCGTTCGCTTTTTGGAGTGTGCGTTTTTGCCTCAATTTTCTTTGTTTCTTTCTTTGGCTAGTTGCACATAGTTAACGCTTCAGTTGTAAAAATGCCCATCAGCGCGTTCAAAATTTTAACAGTGAACCGAGCAGATGTAGTGCCACGGCCACGCCCACGCCCCCTCTGTTAAAAGTGTCCCGTTCCATGCACAGCGCTCAACGCCCAGTTGTTTGCCGGTCGGGCATGGGCGCCGCTGAGTGCTGGGCGGGGGGCTGGGGGCGAGGGAGCGAAGGGGCGCTGTGGTGCTTGGGCTTGGGCTTGTGGGCGTGCGGCGTGCAAAAGGCGTGTAAAAGTTTTAGCGCAACTTATTGAAACTGTTTTGGGCCATGGCCGTGCTGGAAAATCAACGTCCGCGCCGGAAATGTTGGCGGCTGTAATGGCGACGGCCGCATTAAAACTACAAGGCAAGGAATAAAAAAAAAATAAAAATAAAAAAAATATAAAAAACGAAAGAAAATGAAAAAGGAAAATAAAAAAAAAAAATAAAAAAACAAAAGACTAAAAACGGCTGCGAAAACTATGGAAAAGTGCCAGCTAAAAAGAGGCAACTGTTGTTGTTGTTCTCTTATTTTCCTTTTATTTTTCCTTTTTCTGGAAGCCGTTCTTACTGGGCTTCCTGTTGATGCGCTTAAGCGTTGAGCTTTCCAAATTATAATATTTCAAATATTCATTAACTGCTCAGACGAGAGTCTGAATGGGCTACTCTGCACAGTATATAAGGGCCGCTTTAGCTTTAACTCTAGATTTAGCTATTAAGTAGTCTAACCTGAATACTTGATGTAATTCTTGGTAGTGTTGTTTTTATGGCTATAAATAGGGCCGTCATTCCAGTTATATAAAGAAAGAATAAGAGAAATAAAGAAGATCTATTAAAGGCCTCGAGATTTGCTTCAGTACAACGGCTCGTGGCTGTTGCGGTTTCCAGGGTATTCCCCAGTGTGTCATTCTAACGAAGCACTCTCCACTCTCTCAGTGCTCATTGATGTAAATATGAAATGAATTTAAAGCGTTACACTTTATTTCAGTCATGACCTCATTTTTATTCACTTTCTCCAATGGAGTACGAATTGCCTATTTAAAATGTAAATTTAATACTATTTCTCCAGAAACATAAATTTTCTTCAGCATTGTTATATATCGTTGTATACTCTATGAATTAATTATTTTTTCTGTATAATACCAGGCAAGAATTAAAAAATAAATATAAGTAAAATAAAGCTGCTGTACTATAAATATGTGGCGTATACAGCTGAGACGTAGTGTAAATCTCAGAATCTTATTCGCCCATTTTGGATCACATATTGAGTGACAGATGGGGAAAAAACCATACAGGCAGCTATATGTATATGTACATATACACATGTATGTATACCATATAAAAGCCTGCACTTTATTCCCATCAGTATCAGTCGACAATAAGCCGCAAGATGTTCAGCTTCACGGCGTTCGTTTGGCTGCTTTGCTGTGCTGCTGTGCTGGGCGTTGAGGTTCAGTTGGAGCTGGGCCGCATACGTGGAGTTAATCTGACATCGCGGCTGGGCGTGCAGTTCCATGCTTTTCGCGGCATACGCTACGCTGAGCCACCGCTGGGCGAGCTGCGCTTCAGAAATCCCCAGCCCGTGAAGCCCTGGGCACCAGAGACCTTTGATGCCAGCCAGGACGGACCCATGTGCCCGCAGCCGTGGGACAATATGACGGACGTGTCCGAGGACTGTCTGCGCCTGAATGTGTACTCAAAGAATCTGAGTCCAACTGCTCGTCGGCCAGTCATTGTGTTTCTGCATCCCGGCGGCTTCTATGTCTACTCTGGGCAGAGCAAGTACTTGGCCGGTCCGGCGCACTTCATGGATCGCGACTGTGTGCTGGTCTCACTGAACTACCGCCTCGGCAGCCTGGGCTTCCTGGCCACGGGCAGCGCCGATGCCCCCGGCAATGCTGGACTCAAGGATCAGGTACTGGCTCTTCGCTGGATTCAGAAGTATATCCATCTGTTCGGTGGCGATCCGGGCTCGGTGACGCTCCTGGGCTACAGCGCGGGCAGCCTGAGCATTGGCCTGCACATGTTGTCTCCGATGTCCCGGGGCCTGTTCCATCGAGGAATATGCATGAGTGCCTCGCCGTATGGCCAATGGGAATACCCCACATCAGATCTGAAGCTTGCCCAGCGCCAGGCACGCTTGCTCAAGTGCCCGGAGCTACCAGTGAAAGATTTGGTCGCCTGTCTGCGCGGCAAGCCCATGCTGGACTTTGTAAGCTCCTACAACGGCATGTTCGAAATTGGCTGGCACCCTGTGCTGAACTGGCTTCCGGTTATCGAGCAGGACTTTGGCCAGGAGCGTTTTCTGCTCGAGCATCCGTACAAAACGGCTCTGAGCGGAAAGTTCTACAAGGTGCCCCTCATCACGGGCATCACTGAGTTTGAGTTTCTATCGGCCGCCTTCTGTGAGTTGACATATGGGATGAGTTATCCATTCTAATGGCTTTCGCTTATAGACGATCTGCGCAATGAGAGCATACGTCAGAAGCTAAATGATAGGTGGGAGCATTTTGCTCCGATTGTGCTGCTCTATGAGCAGAACACGACCAAATCGCGCGAGGCCAGCGCTGTGCTACGAAGGGAATATTTGGGAAATGGGAACATCCAGAATCCCGCATCTCTCCAGGGTTTGGGCAGGGCCTATAGCGATGCACTCATTGGGCTCGAGTACCATCGCTTTATGAGTTTAATGGCTCCTCACACACCAGTCTTTAGGTACTTCTTCCGCTACAAGGGGCGCTATAGCTTCCTGATGCATCCGGACACCAATCAAACCTTTGGTACATATTGCTTCCTAGTCAAATGCTCGGCCAGGGCTAATTCGGTATTTTTTCAGGCGCTGTGCACCACGATGAGCTCTTATATCTGTTCCGAGTGCCGCTTATAGCTCCAGTGTTCAAAGAGAGCGACCCAGAGAACTTGCTGATCGAGCGGCTGACGCGTCTATGGGTAGAGTTTGCCAGAAAGGGGTAACTATATAAGACATCAGATCGAACATAATATACTAATCTTTGGCCTACTCAGTGATCCCAATAGTGCAACGGACGAATACTTACGTCACGTACAGTGGCCCCAATACAATCGCCAAAATCAGGCGTATTTGGAAATCGATACGAATCTAACGCCAAAAACTGGCAACGTTTATGAAGAGCGTTACAAGATCTGGGATCAGCTCTTTCCCTACCCCAGCTTCTAAATGAATTCTTATGCACATATATATGTATTTATAATTATATATATGAACAAGCATATAAATAGAAATATATGATTTGCATATTAAGAAGCCGTAACGATATATTTTTGAGGAAAATTTGATAAGTGTATCATAGCTGGAAAAGCAATCTCAGCCACTTGAGAAAATATCTTGCAATTTACTATACCAGCAAATCGTTGAGCCCGCCCACACCACACCTCGCACCGCATTCGGAAAACTGTTGTGACAATAAACAAAGCTGCCTCGGCGTGCAAATGGATATGCAAATGGGGCGCTCAATCGACAGGCAAACAACGAGCGGACTGCGAGAAAAGTCAGAGATTCGACTGATTTGCTGCTGGCACATATTTTACAGAGCTTAAAAACGAATCGAATGCATACATATATATTCTTTTGCAATGGGAAAGTGGCTAATATTTTAATATTAATTTTACATTTTTTTCCTCACTGTTAAAGAAATAGAAACAACTTTTAAGTAAAATAAATCTGTTCATAGAATTGATTGCGACGCACGTCCAGCAGCAGCACAATTGATGATAATCGTGTACTCATTAAAGGCTTCGCGACCGCAGAGCAGGACACCAGGCAATTTGCAGCGAATGCGTCTCACGGGATTTTTAAAGGCATTCAACGGCAGCTTTAATTCGATGAAATCATTTACATTTGCATGCCAACAATGGCAGCTGCAGCTTTTTATGCAAAATGTCTGTGCTAATAACAGCTACAACTACATCAACAACAACAACAACAACAACAACAGAAACCAATTGCATATACAGCTCATGAATTTTTGATTACACATTTGGCGCTGCGGCTAAAAATAAGCGACGCACATATAACGGAAGTTGCGCTGCAATTTAATATTACGCATACGCCGCGTATGCCGCGTGTGCAGCTGATTGGACAGCGGTTAATGCATATTTCTGGGTTACCCACACCATAATGAACTGCATAGTAATGAAGCGATATTTATGTATATGCGACCGCGCATCGCAGCTGACCAATGCCACACCCATATATATATATATTATATACCCATATAATCCAATTATATTTTGGCAACTTTAAATAAAGATTGAACATTGAGCAGACATAAATTATATAAAACGCAATCTATGGCGCCCGCTTCTAGCTACAATTGATCTAATGTGCTTACGGAGTATCTACTGACTCTTCAATTTCTGTTTTCCTGCATTCCCCCGACTGCACAGCAGCTTCTGTAACAGGTAAGTTATTATCACTAGGATCAACACGGCCACGCCCACGAAGAGGCCGACTACATCCAGACTGTGATAGGCCACAAAGCTCAGGTCCTGGGCAGCGATGCGCATGTGTGGAGCGCCCTTGTGCCGCAGCACGTACTCCGTCCACCAGATGGCCGTCTCCTGCGGACTCATGGGCTGATCTCGGTAACGAGCCGACATTACTTTCGCTGTTTCGCTAAATTTCGGCTCATTGATCAAGCGCTTTATGGTGTGGACAAACTCGGCGCCTGTCATCTCCTTATGGTCGAGAGCCAGCCCAAAGCCAGCCTGTTTGGCGCGCTCGACGTTCAGAAACTGATCGTAGAAGAAAGGCAGCCCCAGCACCGGCTTGCCATGGTGAATGCTCTCGATGGTGCTCAGCAGGCCGCCGTGGGTGATGAAGAGCTTCACATTGGGATGCGCCAGGATGTCCGGCTGGGGGAACCATTTGCTGATGAACACATTCGGGGGCTTATTCGGCAGCTGATCGTCCTCGAACTTCCAGAGCACACGCTGCGGCAGACTTGCCAGGGCCTGCAGCAGCATCTGCTTGCGCTCGTCTGGCAGGTCCTTGCTCTTGATGTTCGAGCCCAGTGAGAAGTATATAACACCTGCCGAGCCGGCGCCTTGGATGAACTCCTCCATCGCCTTGGGCAAGGGCGCCGGCTTGTGAGCAATATGCAGTCCCCCAACCTCGATCATGTTGGGCACATACGGCCGGGGGAAACTGAGCGAGAAATGTTGATTGAGCAGCACCAGCGAAAAGTTCTTGCTCAACTCCACCAAAGGCTTCTTATGGGCAATGTGTGGAAAGTATTGCTCGTAGAGCTTCACCTGCAGCGGCACATAGACCAGCTTCCAGTTGAGCCAGGCTATGGCAGTCTCGACAAAGTTGTGCACTCGCTCCCAGTAGGTCATGTGATCGGTCAGTCCGACCGTAACGAGCGGTATATAGGAAATCGGCGAAGTGTTGCCCACCAGCTCATCGATGTTCCAGTCCGTGCCGAATGTGGAGATGCCAATGATCGGTGCATCGAAGTGCGCTGCGAAACCGTAGAGCGCATCGGTGCGCAAGGCTTCCACAATGATCAAGTCGAACTGAGCCTTGCCGGGCTGCAGCAGCTCCTGCTGCACCTTCGCATTCTGCAGCACTGTTTTGGTGACACTCAGAAAAAAGTCGTTTATGAAACTGTTCTCCTGCCACGAATTTCTACTGATGTCCAGATCAGCAATGATCTCTGCAATGATCATAAAAAAGACTGATTTAGAATACCGTTCGATCTGCCTAGATTGTAGACGTACCTTCGTAGGACTGAAAGACTTCAGGAACCACAAGGTCATGGAAGTTTTCCACAGGCTTCTTTTGGGGAAAGGCGTTCACCGATGTCACCTGATGGCCGCGAGCCGCGAGGCCCTTCAGATAGGGCACGACGTTGATGTATTGCGAGGGTCCCGGAAAAGGAAATATTGCCAAAATCCGCGCACCATCAAGGAGCTGTGGCAGTGCGGAGAATAACAGCGAAAGGAATAGTCGGAATAAGAGCATCTCGTAGGCCGTGCGATTGCCCACAATTCTCGTGTGCAACTGAACTGCCGAGACACGCTGGGCTTCATGGAAAGCATTGTTCCGCTGAGATTAGAGTGATGGACGTGCATGCGATAACAGCCTTTACAGCGGCGATTACAATCATTTATATGAGCACCGCAGCATGCCGCCACACCCAATCTCACCCATGTAGATCGCAGCGAGCTGTGCCAGCATTTCAGCATTAGATTACTAAATTAGGCTCTGTCTCTGCTGATGCAAGTGCTCGCATATGTAGCTACTCTGGCTGGGCTCGACTGAAATCTCATTTGCGTGCAAAATGTGCCAGTCATGATCATCAGCAAAAATTTGTAATGCTCATTGTGAAGTGGCGAAAATACTGTACTGGCGAAAATACTGTAAGATAAAGGAAAAATAGTACGCTGCTCGCTTACACTGTTTGTCATTGTGTAGCCAAACAAAAGTGCTCCCGGTTGGCATTGAGCTCTCAAAACTGAGAGCCTTGCCTCGAACTTGAAATACTCGTAAAGATAAGGCTTGTGGACTCTGAAAGATATCAGTTGAGTGTTGTGTTTATAGCTCTCTAATCTACTTATCTAATTGTAAGGCGTCAGTCTACTTAGTATAATAGACATGTTTAATGGCTGTGCCACACACAATTCAATGGATTTTTTTGAATATTACTACATCTTGAGTAGAATAAAAAATCTGAAAAATATTTGAGTATTTCCTTGACTTCTTAAACTGGCTTTCTGGTAAGCATATTGGTATATTACAGTTTTATTTGATTTATTATAATTATTATAGAAAATAATTATAATAATTATTGTTATTATTATTATTATTATTATTATTATTATTATTATTATTATCATTATTATTATTATTATTATTATTATTATTATTATTATTATTATTATTATTATTATTA